GGGCCTGCCCCACGGCAGCTCCCTCCCAGTCCAGGCGGGCACGGCGACGAGGACCGTCATGACAAACAGCACGGCCATGATGGTGAAGGCAAAGATCCACTGCAGCGCAATCACCTGCCGCAGGAACTGCGCCACGCCCAGCGACGCCGACAGCACGCTCAGCGCGAAGCCCATTGTGTAATCCTGCGCCGGCAGTCAGTCAGTCACCTTTATCCTCTCCACTCCAGCTCATCTAGAAAAAAACAAGGGAAAGAGGAGGAAACATACCTTGTAAAAAACAATAAAAAACAACCCATACCCCAAAAACGCCCACACAAACACATTCGCAAATACGCGCGCCACCAGGCTCGCCTGGTGCGGCACCATGATGGCGCCGTTCCAGCACAACGCGACGAAGGCCCAGGCTAGCGGGCCCGACACGGCGGGGAAGTGGATGCCGCGCGGGTATGTGTTGTGGCGGAAGTAGAGCGACGTCAGGTTGGCAAAGTCGAGCGCGAGCAGCACCTCGGCCCAGCCGAAGCGCGACCGCACAAAGAGCGCCACGAAGGCCGCGTGCAGCAGGTTGTGCAGGATGAAGTGCGAGCCGACCGAGCAGGCTGCGTTGACCGAGTTGGTGCTGTTGCTGCTGCTGGGAGAGAAGAGGTGCGAGATGTAGACGAGTTGGAGGAGGAAGAGGGCGATCCTGCAAGGGTAGGGAAGGTTGTGGTTAGCTTGGGGGTTGGTGGTAGTGGTGGTGGTGGTGGTGGTGAGGAGGAGGGACGTGGACGGGGAAGGAGGGGAGGGAGGGAGCGCACCAGTAGATGGAGGTGATGATCGGGCTGAGGGTGAAGCCCGAAGGGTGGTGGTCGTTCTGGTGCCAGATGGTCCCGCGGTGGTGTTTCCCGTCGTGGGGAGCCTCAAAGGTATAGTAGACCGTGACGACGACCGAGAGCAGCCAGCTGGCCAAGGTGAGAACCTTGTACCAGAGCACCGAGGCCGGGCTGTGCGAGTCCCGCTTCGCGAAGGGGTTGACTAGCTACATGTCAGTAGGATGGAGTAGCAGGGGGGACGAGAGGCACCAACCTTGATGAAAGCGATCCATTTTGGCGGCTCGCTGCGATGGTTCAACAACTAGAAATCTTTGGTGCTGCCCAAGTACGGATACAAAGTGGTCGAGAAGAAGGCGGGGACGGCGACTTTTGTACAGTAGACCTCTGGACAACTTGAAGGCTCAAACTGGGTACGGTGTGGAGGGAACAGTTCCAGACAAGGAAATGCGCATGGAGCTCGCGAAGACGATTGGCCTGCCTTTGACGCGGCCGTGTTTCGTTTGGGTCATGTCTTACGATCTGTCTGCCGCAACAAACCGGGAGTTGGCGGTTCAGGGTGAGAAAGCGACACTGACGTTGCCATTCCCACGCTTCTTCATGTCCAACATTGACTGCAAAACCCGATTCCTCGGAATTTTTAACTCGAGCCTATCAATGTATTAGAGTCTTACTGTTCAACTTTCATATTTCCTTGTTACTCATGCTACGCCTTGGAATTCCCTTGCTTGTTAATTTGGCTTGCCTGGGTTGCATGTTGTTGTCGAAGAATTGGGAAACTGCAACGGGTCAAGTGGCCGCCAGGTGGGAAAGAGCGGGGCTGGTCATCGCAAATCGTTCTGCTGATTGGTCAGGCTGGTGCAAGCTGCGTCATAGCTACCTTGCTGTGGGTTTTCGCGCCTTTTCTCAACTTTCTCCCCGCAGCGCGAACCTTTGCGGCCAAAAAACTGTCCTTCACGACTCAGCAAAACAAAGGAACCGATTGAACCAGTCGAGGCACTCCAGAGGCAGGACCCCGGCATATGAGTAACCTCCGTGGCCGTCGAGGCCATCGATATTAGGACCTCATTGCAACCTCCAAGGTCTTCAAAATTGTGGCTTCCAGCTTTCACACACACAAAGCTGGTGTTGCCCCGATTGACTTCCCCAAAACCGGTCAGCCGTCAGCAAATCGAATCGGATTTCGGCCTCTCTGACACGCCAAAAACGTCACCGGTTCAGGTTTCCTGCGTGCCCCCCTTCGCTATTACAGCCGAGCAGTGCTCCTGTGTGCTCCGACCGAAGTCGGTCGACTGTCACGGCTTCCCTGATTCAGCATTGGTGGTCAAGATTCTTATATGCAAGGACCAAGTGGTCCCTCAGTATAATATCTCTACCATTCCCTTCTGCATACCGACGCGGCTGTGTACTTTGATGGAGGGCCGTGTTCGGTATCTTAGTGCGTATGCCGAGTGGCACGCACCATGAGAGCATGCCGGACAATGCGGCAAAGGCCAAGTTGCTGCTCCATACCCAAGGTCGATTTGATGCATTGTCCTCCTGCAATCGCGCAGGCCGAGTTCTAGCCTCACACCCCCTTTTCACAACGAGGCTTCCAGCTGATCGGTCAGCGCTGCCTTATGCATTGAAGGCGGCGAGGCGTTGATGTGTGGCGGTGGCTCGTCCAGCCCTGGGCTTTCCAGGCCGCTATCAACTTGTCATCCCATCCAACATCCTGTCTGTTGTAACATAGGGATTCAGCTTCCCATGTTTCAAGTCGCAACCGTTTTCGACCGTTTACGTTCTCGGCGTCATCTCTCTGCGACGAACTCAAGTCCAAATCTACTCATAGGCTTCCCGCCTAGCACACACGACGACCACCTTTGCCAATGCCAGCCTTCCTCAGCCTGTTCTTCAAGGCTATCTATCTGGCCGGGCTGAGCTCACACCTCGCTCGGCATGCATTGCCAGCGCAATCCATTCTCACAACAGCTTCTCCATTGGTTCACACTGCTCTGTTTAAACATGCATCGCAGGTTTGAGCACAACAATCACAATTCCAAATTCCTGATTTAGTACCTATCTGGTCGCCTTGTAGGCGTACTAGTTCAACGCCCGCAAGGCTTTTCCTCAGTGCGCGGGCCGTCGGGAGCTGGGGGGGTCCCAATGTCGAGCTCATATAGAGACTCGTGCTTTTACTCCCATTTGTAAATATCATGACTGTTCCACACGCTGGATGGGCTTTTCCGTCCACGACCGTACAGCTACCATGAACAACTTCATTGAAGGTAGCCGCAAATGCTCGCCCAGGATCCCCGACGAGAAGTGGATGGAGGTGCAACCAATACTCATCGCCTTGTACACGGTCAATACCCTTCCCGAAGTCATGGCTATCATGGAACATGACCACCAGTTCTTCGCGACGTGAGTATTGTCCAACATATATGGGTTATGCCGACAGCTGACTTGTCTTGCAGGAGGCGGCAGTACGTTCACCGGTTCCAGGCCTGGAAAATCAAGAAATACAAAAACAAGGAAGCCAGCCCGGAGAGTGCCACCGAAGGGCCAGTCCTCAAGGAAAGGCCCGCCGAGGCCTTCCCCCCATTGACACAAGCTCC